ACTGTGACCGAATCTTCCGGCATAGGCGTTGAATGCACCAGTACAGCTTGAGCGGCACCCGCGGGTACTGAAGAACTGGTGTTATCAAGTTTTTCGACGACGCGCTCGTGGTCATTGCGGTCATTGCCGTCAGCTGCACCGAGTAATGAGTTCTCTGCCATCGTTGAAATTTCTTGATCCGGGGTCATGCCTAATTAATTGATCTGATTTATGCATATCAAACTTTTTTACAAATATTACAATGGCACGTGTATACTGCACATACTGTATATAAAAGTTGAATAAAATTTTCACTTTAATTAATATAACCTTAATTTTTATATTAAAATTTATTAATATAAAAAATAAACCAATTAATAATGCATATTATTAAAACTTTTTTTACTGACTTTCTTGTTAACTCAAAAACAAATATTCTTAAAAATTTTATATTTTCTAATAATAAGATTTACATATTTTTTTAATAAAAAAATTATTTAAATTATAAGTAAAAAAAAAAATAATTTTGTTTAATTATACAATATTTAATTTAGATTTTTGTATCTTTTTCTTATTTTCTCAAAACCATATTATAAAATCCATATAATAATTTTATAAAAGATTTGAATCTTAATCTATTCATTTTTGTTTTTTTTATTATAAACAAGCATAAATATAAAACTTTATTTAAATAATATATTTACTATCATTATATTAAATATTTATTTAATCTATTGTATATAAATTTTTAATATAGTATTATATCAAATAAATATTATTATATCAAAAATAGTTTATAAATAACTAAATTTATATTAAAATTTTAATCAAAATTAATAAATATTGTTATTAATTTATCAGTATTGGTTTTGATATTAATTTTAAAATTAAAATATTAAATTGAAATTTTTAATAAAATATTAATTAATATTTAAGATATTAATTAGTTTTAATAAATATTACTATTGATTTATTAATTTTGATATTTTTTAAAGTATTAATTAATATTAAGTAAAAATTAATAATAAAAGTTATATTAAACTATATATATAAATAGAATTTTTATTAGTTTTGATAAATATTATTATTAATTTTTTGTTTTAGGTTTAATACTTTTTGAAAATATCAATTAATATTAAACAAAAATTGACAATAAAAATTATATTAAACTATAAATATAAAAAATATATTATAAAAAATTGTTTTTACAAATTTTAAACAAGAAGAATTTTAAAATATTTTTGTTAATAATGAAATTTAGATAATAAAATAATAAATATTTTAATAATAAAAAAAACTCTTTTCTATTTCCTCTTTTACACTTGAAA